TGATACAGAAAAACTGAAGCAGCAAACACTTAATGCAAATAAAACGTTTCACACAGTTGTGAAAACACAGACATATATAATGGAGATTCCTGAGCTTCACACAGTTTCACACAGTTCTTTATACTCTCATTCGACAGTGGTAGCCTGGCCAAAGGTTTCTAGCAAGCATAGGATAATGGAGATTCCAGAGAGGTGAGGGGATGAGAAGGTTGACAGAAAAAGGGATATGGTCAAATAAGCAAGACTGGATCGCCTCTGTTATTCTGACAGGAAAAAAAATGTCAATCTGAAAAGGATTTGAAACACAATTGGTTACTTTATCTTTCCTCTTTAAGTATGATCAGTGCAGGTAATCACAATATAAACTTCACAAATATGCATGAGTGCCCACACTAGAATTCATTCAATTGTAGAAAGGTATGCAACAATTTTCAGAGACCGAAGGATCCTCGTCAGTGTAAATTAAGATTTCAACTCTCACAACAACATATTATATATGCATGCATACATACATACATAAGATATGGGTGTTTCCAAGGGTAACAAATATAATCTAGCAAAACAGTTTTGATAGCTATCAACAATGTTCATTTTGATAGTTCAACTTGTGAAGAACAAAAGTGACAGCCTACCACATTAAACACTTCACGCAGAAAACAAAACGATATTAAAAAAAACCAAAAAAAAAAAAAAGAAAACAATACAAAACACTGAGGAAAAAAAAAAGACAGTAATGAAAGATATGCATTCGAACATATCTTCTACATTTTCAGCAACTCCTTAAAGGATATAGAAGAGCGCTTTTCTCTTTGTGGGGGAAAAGAATTAAAATAACAATAATAATAATAATGCAGATTTCAGCCACAACTTTCAAACTTCTTGAACAAGAATCCTCCTCCTTTAAATCATAAAGACTAATCCTAGAAATCAGCTAATTAATTGGACTTGTATAACCAAAAAGCAATCTCTTTCCCAGCTCTGCAATCCTAAAGTTTATGGAAGTAAACTTGAACAATAACAGAACACGAACTAAGTCAGGACAGACAAAGCAATCTCTTTTTTTTCCTTCAATAATGGTCTAGGGAAACACATTGACCAATTTATACACAGAAAGTTCTGCAAAAATGGAAATGATAGGAGCCAAATGAACTTCGTTCTAGGTCATTGGAGCTTCGTTTCCCGAACATAAACTTAGGTTGCAAGAAGAAAATTGAGAAAGAGCAGCAATCCATCTTCGGAAAACCTTAAAAGAAACAAAAATATCCATTTTCTCTCTCATCGATTTCTCTTTTCCCACTTTTCTCGGCAACCAAACAAACCAGAGAGAAAGTTAAAAACGAAAAAAAAGAGTTTTTTTTTTGTTACCATAGGGAAAGTGTTGCTGGTGGAGGAGATGAGCATGCAAGTCTTGCCGACTGCACCGTCACCTACAGTGACGCACTTAATGAACTTGGAAGGAATTAAACCAAGGATTCGAGTGCTTACCAAGTTGGAGCGTACAGAGGAGTAAGTCTGATCTACTCTGAGATTCCCAAAACGCGAAGATGATTTACCCTGAGTGAGGTACTAGCGACGACAACGGAGGGGGAAGTAGCTTTGACGTCGCCATTGGAAAGCAGTAGGTCGAGACCCTTTCCTTCTACATCGAGCTAGGATGGTTGCCCCAGGAGGTTGCCGAAGAGATTGATTTCTACCCCCGAATTTCTCCATCTTGAATGGAGACCAACGGATACAGATGAGGGGTGAATTTTGGGGCTAGGGTTTCTATCTCAGATTGAGGGAAAGGTAGCAAAACTCAAAGGCAACATTTGAGTTATGGGTATGGGGCGGAATTGAAGCTTTAAGGAGTGGAATTGAAGCTTGAAGGAGTGGATTATGGTCAAAAGGCAGCAGAACTCACAGGAATCTCACGGGATAAAGCAAGTAACGGCACACTTACAAAGAAGCACGTGAAATAGCAGAGCGTGTTAGAGCTAAAAGAGATGGAAAGCACGCAACGGCATGAATCTTCACTGTAGAAATATAGAGAAGCTAACTCAAGTTGCAGTGGGAAGATGAGAAGGTAGTGTAGAAATAAGACCTCAAACAGCGCGGGTGAGCAGGGAGCGCAGATGGATAAGAAGAATCTTTCAAGAATCTTCACCGTAGAAATGCAGGGTTTTTGAGTTATTTTTCGAGTTCTGCAACACTGAACCCAAACTTGAATAAAAAAAGTCACTCAAGTAAGCCTTTCTCGAGTGAGTTGCAGCAAACGAACAGGATCAACTTTAACTCAAGTTATAACTCAAACTCAACTTAAAATTATCATTTAAATTACTCTTAATTTAAAAATGCAAAAAAAATAACCTTATAACTCAAACTCAACTCAAGATCTTCACTTAAAAATGCCTAACTCAAAAATACAAAATAACAATCCAGAAATATCTTGGTGTGATAAGTGGATTACATGCTGGCTGTATAGCTACTAATTAATAAGGGCTGCAAAGTTTGGTTTTAAAATAGAAACCTTAAGGAAACAAAAACTTGACAAAAAGGTCCGTTTTCGACCCAAAATATGTTTTTTTCTAAACAATCAAATAAGAGTCTGAATTAGTTTTTGGTCTGAATATAAAAGTTTTAGATCTCAGCTAGCAGAACAAATTTAGTGAAGAAAGTTTCTTCAAATTCGGACCCTAAGATAAAGTCATACACTTTGCAATGTTCAGCCATTATCAGAAGTACAAGTAGATGGCCGAATCTACTCGTTTGTTCAACATAGAAGTTGTAGATCTCATCAAAATAAGAAATTTTCATGAAGAAAGTTTTTATAGATTCCTTCTCGAACTCAAGTTATTTAGGACGCAAGATTTTTACCAAAATTTGGACTAAAGAAATAATGATTGAATGCTTAGAATTAGCAGGTCCTTTAGAGTATTTTTTTTCTTGTAGAAAATAAGCACAGTAGTATGAAAAGTTTTAGTTTAGCCTCAGGGGTAAAAATACCAAAATTTTCAGTAACGGGTCAAAAATGTAAAAATAAGAAAAAATTTTGGACTAACCTGTAAAACAGTTCCTAAAGCTATCCAGAGCAGTAAGGAGACCAGGGAGTTGAATTAGAACATTTGAGATTGCCTAGAAAACCCGTTCAGGGCAAAACAATCATTTTTTTACTACAAAAGTAAAATTGTCAAACTGAGCTTTGATTTCTACCTCACGGTCCTTAGGGTCATGTAATAAAAATTAACTTAACTTGTAGGAATTGAGATTTGAAATTAGAAAATGAACTGAAAGTCGGGTGTCGACTTAAAATTGGACACAGAACCAACTACACTGAGGGATTGGTTTGACTTGAAAAAAAACATTAAGTGTGAAGTATCTAAGTAAGTACAAACCTTACCTACAATATGAATTTGATTTTAAGATAACATGTTGTATTTGTGAATTTTTTTGGTTGAATGCATAACTTTTGCATGATTGATTTGATGATAAGCTTATGTTATGATGTTTGCCTCTTCAAGTTATATGCATTATATGTCTATGTGACATGATCATAATTGCATGTTCAATTTTAATAAGAGACTAAGGTAATGGAAAATAAAGTAAGGTGCCGTACCAATTCTTCGGGCCAAATGGGAGGATTATTCTTGGACTCATATGACAAATTATAACAAGTAATGAATTAATGATTATGACCTTGGGTGTCTCGGATTAAATATTTAGGTCGCTCTTCCGGCACCTCATTGGTCGTGCGCAATAAGAAAATAAAATATGCTTTCATAATTAAGTATAAGATGTCATGTATATTTTTATAAAATTGTTTATATGCAAAATATTTTATGAAAATATTTGTCTTATTGAGCTTTCACTCATTAAATTTTTTTATGGTGTAAGTAAAAAAAACCTGCAATCCAATTATCATGATCGATTGGCAGTGGACGTGGCGGTGGAGGATGTTACCATGCAACAAAGTTTTCCACATACCTCTTTTAAAATATTTTGAAGTAAGAATTTTATTAACGTAAGATCAGTATACTATCAAAAATGCAGACTATATAAATACTAATGTCCTACTATGTTACGTTTAAGACTAAAGTACTCATATTTTCGCATGTAATATAAATACTACGACAAATCAGTATCCAATATATTTTACATAAAAGAAGTGCTAAGTTAACACTGCATGATAAAAGGGAGGAAATGTCAAAGCAACTAAAAATGTTTTGAAAGGAAAATTTAGTTTAAAGTTCTAAGTTTAAAAAAATTCCCAAAATTTCGATACCCAGATTTACTTTAAAAAAGGTTTTAAAGAATTTTTAAGACTAAGCTCGGGAAGCTAAGCCGTTACAAGCCGAGAAATGGAAAAATCGCATTATTTATTCCAAATGATATTAATTCTCAATAATTCATCTTCTCTTAAAAATATTACAAAAATTACGCGGGACTCATAGACCTATATTTATAAACTCTAATAAAATTAATAATTAATTAAGCTCTACAAAAATGAAGACTTTGCTAATGTTAGATTAAAAGGATAAACTACAGATCAATTAGTTTGAGATTAAAACACACAAGGTATTTCTGCTCTTACAGTGATCGATTTACTCAAGAGTTCTTTTCCTTCATTAGTTTTTTCTTTTCTTTTGATTTTTAGCCCCGACAACAACTTGAGGAAGACTTAAACCCCGTTTATTTTACCGATTCGAGTTTAAAATTCAAGTTTTACTACAATAAAAAGTTATCAGAAACAGTCACATTTAAATTTTTTACTACAGTAAAAAACTTTCACATAAAATCACATTCCAACTCAAATTAAAAACTCGAATCAACGAACTAAACGAACCCTTAACATATCCCTTACCCTGCTTCTTGTCATCGACTACATACAATCAGAAACATTTTAAATCCAAATTCTTTTAATTTCCGTATTTGGTAGGAAACCATCTAAGGATAGAAGTCCCAAGAGATGTCATGCAACTCTCTCTGTAAATCTTCCTCAATGGATGCTATTAGACACACATGCAAATATTAAGCTCATATATTTTGTTATATTAGAAAAGAGCCGTACATGAAGTCTCAAACTTTTACAAATCAGTAAATCAAACACACCATAGCATTTAATCTTCAGAAAAGCAGACACAATACCAATTCATATATGCATCTATGATGCACAAGGAGAAAACACTACGAGAAACCATGTCTGGTTTCTCTTCATTCGGTTTTCCACGAAGATAGTGGTGGAGTATCAGCTTCTCTCCAGGTACCTGAGGCTCCACCATACCTGTCACCCTTTACAGCATCTGCCGATGCAAAAGATTCAAGCTCAGCCATTTCTTCTGGTGTTAGATTCACGGATAGGGCTCCAATATTCTGGTTAAAATTCTCAATTTTGGTGGTTCCAGGGATGGGACAAACATCATCTCCTTGGTGATGAACCCAGGCCAAAGCCAGCTGTGCAGGAGTGCATCCTTTTCTGGCTGCTATTTCATTTACCCGCTCAAATATTGTTATGTTATGCTCAAGGTTTTTGCCTTGAAACCTGGGCAGTTGCTGCAATCAGAAGTAAGCAGGTTAGGTTACACTTCTGTAGGTCACTAAATTTTCTCAATAATCATGATGTTCCAACCTAAGCTCAATTTCTTTGGAATTGCATGACAAAGTGAGGAAGTTGAATCGATCAATAGTCACTTACAGAATTCAATCAACCAGCCATTATGTCTAAAGGAAACAACAATTTGAAGATCTACTCTTGTCAAATACAATGAAAATTAAGGTTATGTATTTTGAAGATTGAGCCAATCAGTTAGAGTTGCATCTGTTTCAGTAAACTAGGGTATCTTGGAAGCTAAAATATGCAACTAAAACAAGGCCTTGAGTTTTGAAGGAATGCCAACTACAAAGTGAAATTATGACAGCATTGAGAGAGCTTAATGAGTATGGTATGGTTTCCTGTCTATTTAAAAACCGTTCCAAGATATGTAGAAATATAAACTTTCAGCATGTGCAAAAGCATTGATGGGGCCGCAAAGTAGCTTGAAACGCACACAAGATCAATACTTAAAAGTAAGACATCTTAGGAAATGAACGAACCTTACGGAAGTCATTATCAGTCAGAGTTTCTACAAGCTTAGGGCCAGAGGACAAGAAACCTCGTCCTAGAGGGCTGTATGCAACAATACCAATGCCAAGTTCCCTGATAAATTAAGAATATAGCATTAACAAGTGCATAGTTGCTAATCTTATATGAACAAATCATTAATTTGCATCGAGCCTCACCTGCAGGTAGGAATAATTTCATCCTCAACATCTCTCACCCACAAGGACCACTCCAACTGCACAGCTGTAATTGGATGAACGGCATGTGCTCTTCTTATTGTTGAAGCTGATGCCTCAGACAAACCAATATACTTTATTTTACCCTCTTCAACTAGCTTCTTCAGCTCCCCTACCTTTTAAAGGATGCCAAAAGAAAATAGGAAATTTCAAACTACAAGCTTGCCCAGAAGATTTGAAATGTAAATCAAATAAGTACAATAGAAACAAAGAAAGAAAAAAAAACAAAAAATAAGAAGTTGTATTGGCTACCGGCCACAAGGTAATGCTAAAGGAAAATCCTTGCACAAGTGATTTACTTACTTAAATTGATGTAGGACCAAGATTGGAGAATCTAGAATGGAGACTGAAAAATATAACAGAATAGAAAAATAGAACCAAATGAGGGAAAATAGGGAATTTATTTAAATAGTTAAATTACCTAGATCCTTATCTCCATCAACTAGCTATGTAACTTCACTTTTTCAAAAGCACAATTTACAGTTCATGAGGGAACGCTTCCTTTTAAATGCTGATAAATTATATGCTACCTTCAAACTTTGGTCCAAAATTTATAGAAGCCTATATCGTGCAAAATACTTGGTAACAATCACCACATGCCACTATATCACTTTTCTTCTTTAAATCAGTGACAAGTGCACATTATGTCCTGATATTCTGCCTGGCATTCACAAAACAATAAGATTCAATTAACAAAAGTACAACGTTCCTCCAAATCATTAGTCTCGTAACCCCGGCCACTGACACATGTAAACAGAACATGACCACAAAAAAAAATTCAGGCAAAAGAACAAAAAGCAGTAACAGGGGTGAGGTGGTTTTGAATCTTGGTGTGATGTTTGAACCCATCCAAAACCGGTCCTGGAGAACTTGCATCCCGCCCTGCCTTTTTTAAATTCACAAGATCTGAAAAACTCTATTCACTACAGTAAAACCATAGCTCCAACTCCCCTCCTTCTCAAGGTCCAAAGCCTCGCTTTACTTATGCGAGAAGGAGGCCCAAGATGAGAAGTGCTGATCTGGAGGGAAGTGATGACATGGACGGAGGGGTGGGAGAGGGAGATGCTGACAGACAAAGAGAGGAATGAGGCTGTGGGAGGTCAGAGGCTGCTGCTGAGTTGGATGATTAGAGAGCTCTGGAAAGGGGACCTCGGGATTGGGGAAGGGAAGAGTGAGACGGTTAGTTTGTTAGAAGGATGTATGGGATAAAGTGTGTGTGTGTGTGTGTGGTGGGGAGGGGGTGGGGGGTTTATCGATCATTTTACTGAATTGTGAATCTAGACCCCATATCGATCATTTTACTGAATTGTGAATCTAGACCCCATATCCTGGCTGGCTCTATGGAGTGCAAGGGTCACTCCAAAACCCCACATCCTGTATTTCTTTTGATTTCTAATACCAATTTCAGTATAATTTCCATTTTTGATCAATCAAATACCTTCGAGTTGCTGTGATTTGCACTATTACTTCTCTAATTCTATTATGTTCACTCACATTTTTTTAAAACCCGTAGCTCATCCAAAGGCCGGTTCAAACTTTATTCCCTGTTTAAACCTTTCACTATCAAATGTCAGTTCGAACCACAAAAAATCCACATATAGGTTCGAACCCACGCAATCCGAACCTGCAAAGCAAATGGGCCTAAGACTGAACTTCAATTTGTCAAGTGAAACTCTAGATTGGGATACCCGTTGCAATCTAATAGCTATAATTAAACAAAAGGAGAAAGAGAGAAATATGCAAAGACTTGAGATGAATTAAAATTAATAGGCCAATAATTTACATAAGTTAATAAATAGACAAAATTATTATTTTCATTCATAACTTGTCTGGTTATGAACCATAACTTGACAAGTTATTGTCCATAATTATCCATAACTTATCTAGTTATGAACCATGACTTGACAAGTTTATCCATAACTTATAACCATAACTTGACAAATTATAGCCTATTAATTTCTATAACTAAAAATTGACCTATATACTTTCTTAAACTTTTCATATTAGCATATTTTTTACTATTTCCCTTAAACAAAATGAAAATGTCCCTGAACAATTTACGTTTGGTACTTAAATATTGTCATGTATTAGTTGACGTCTCTAATCGATTAGACTACATCGTCTACGATTAGACTACATCGTCTAGAATTAGAAACTAGAAAACAAAAAAGGAAAAAAAAAAAAAAGAAAGAAATCAAACCGTGACTTCGATTGGGACGCGAGTGTCGACCCGATGCTGGTAATAGAGATCGATGCAATCGAGATCTAATCTTTTCAAGCTCGCCTCGCAGGCGGCTCTCACGTACACCGGATCGCCGCAGATCTCTCTCTTCCCGTCGGCGAAACTTATCCCGAATTTACTCGCCAGCTCTACTTTCTCTCTCACTCCTCCTTTCAGCGCCTAATTCACCCAAAAAAAAAAAATCGAAAACATTAACAATCAAAAGTCCCAAAACAAGAGAGAGAAAGAGGAGAAGAGATAGAATCTAAGGTAATTGACTTTGCCGAGGAGGATTTCGTTGGTGAAAGGGCCATAGATGTCGGAGGTGTCCAGAAAGGTGACACCGGAGTTGACGGCGTGGTGGATGAGCTTAATCATTTCCGGTTCGGGCTTCGGTGGGCCGTAGAAGGCCGACATGCCCATGCAGCCCAGGCCCTGAGCAGATACCTCCAGGCCCTGAGAGCCCAGCTTGATCCTTTTCACCGCTGCCATTTTCTGGTCAGGAGTCGCGTCTTTCTTCTTCGATTTTCTTAGTTGGAGTAGTAGCAAAGTGTTAGAGGTAGAGGGACAGTGATTTCTGGCTCTGCTGTTTTAAAACGTGTGTTGGATTTTCTCGAGGATAGTAAAGTGAAACCTAACGCCGGCAGTTTGTCGTGGAGAAATATGCTACAAAAATAAAATTGACGAAATGACTTTTTTTTTTTTAATGACCACTTGGTAATTGTTTATAAAAAGTAATCATTTTTAATCGTAATAATTTTATAAATAAAAATTTTTAAAAAATTATTTTATTAATAAAATTTTTCTGTTTAGTTATTTTTATAAAGGCCTCGTTTGTTGTGGGGTGGTGGGTGAGGAGAAAACAGGTTCAACTTATTCAAATGTGATGCGGGCGTAAAGGCCGACGTTTAATAAAAAAAATAAATAAATAAAAAAGAAAAGGAGGACAAAAAAAAAAACAAAAGGAAGGAAAAAAAAAAAACATACTAAGGGGGTGTTTGTTTGGTGGACTCAACTTGAATAAGCCCAACTCAAGTTGAGTCCACGGCCCAAATATGTGTTCGGTGAACCTCATCCGAATTGTTATTCAAATCACAATTTACGTTAATGCCTGTGAATTGGAATTCAACCACCGACTAAATTCTCATTAACTCGAATATGAGCTAGAGTGAAAGAGTTCTGCACAACTCTGTTATTTTCTCTCAGATTCTCTGCGTACCTTACCGTTTTCTTGTCTCGTTCATTCGTTTTCTTGCCTCTTCCTCCGACAGCTCTCTCTTCTCTGTCCATTGCCATTATCTACAACGATGATTCCCTGATTCGACGAATATAACCTCGCGTGGTGAAGCTGCAACCTAGAACTTGTTTCGTTTGAGCCATATCTTGTTTCGTTTGAGCCAGATCTTTATTCCGTTTGAGCCAGATCTTGTTCTATTGACAGAGGACACCTTTCCTCGCCGTTCATCGGTTTGCCCAAAACGGAGAAAATAGCTCCAAGTAGCAGTTCCCGACGTCCTCCGCTGACCGTTGTTCTATTGACCGAGGACACCTTTCAGATATCATTTTAATTTAAATTCTAACTCTAGCTATACACTCAACTCAAATCACAAATTGTAATCGGTGAAGCGAACACATCTTAAAATAAGAAGATGTAGTGGTTAAAAAAATAATAAGAAAGGGTGAGAGAATTAAAATGATGGAATAAAGCAGTAAATAAAAAAAAAAAAGGAAGACCCAAACAAACAAAAGCAGAAAAGTAAAAGAAAAGAAAAAATTGACAGAGTAAAATAATAATAAGATTAAATAAAGGTGAAAGAAAAATAAAAATTGGGAATTGAAAAGGCAAATAGAAAAAAAAAAGAATGAGAGAAAAAGAAAAAAAAAATGCAAAAAAAAAAGGACGAAGCGTATCGTCCCCTCCCATCACAGATGAAATATTTCGCCCCCATTAGAACAAAACGGAGGAAGTCCCGATTGGGACTTTTATATATGTAAAGAATTATTGACCTTCTCTCTAAAACTTAGAAGACGTTTAGTTTATGAATTAAAATCATAAGATTAAAATCATTTTTAATTTACATGTATTTTTTATGAGAAAAAATACTGTAACATATTATAAATTATGATTTAAATTGGAGTATGAATCTCTCAACCAAATAAGATTGTGTATACATGGATTCATAAGCCTTTGTATATTAAAAGTAATACTAAGGGGCACCGATCCTTCAATATAGCATCATCCCTGACTTAGAGGACTCAACCAAACAACCCCTTATAGATTGTGTGTACATGGATTCATAAGCCTTTGTATATTAAAATCAATGCTAAGGGGCACCGGTCCTTCAATATAGCATCATCCCTGATTTAGAGGGTCCGGGGTAAAAGTGCTCCAAGTATTTATCATATATTAATGCACGTAATCAACGAAATTTAAAGCCCGTTTAATTTTTTGATTTAAATTTTTAATTTGAGTTGATATGTGATTTTATATAAAAAAATTTTACTGTAGTAAATAAATTAGATGTGACTGTTTCAAAAAAATTTTTATTGTAATAAAATTTTAATTCTAAACTCGAATCGGTGAAATGAACGGGCCTTACTACACACGACCAAGATTTTCTGCTTCATGTCTTACACCTTTTTTGTCATTTTTGCTTGATGCTGTCGTTTATCAAGCTATTGTAATAGTCTTTTGTTTTCTCCTTTCATTTGGTTGCCATTTTTTAATGGTTTTATCGTTTATTTACTAGAAGAATCGTTTCTCGGAGCTTCAATTGCGATTCCAAGCATATTGTTCCCTTGTTGCGATTGGAGAAGCTAATCAAACTATGTGACTTGTGAACGAACGAAGCGAGAGAGAAAGACGGAAAGCAAGAGAATTTGAATATCATCAGAGAGAAAACACTGACTCTGTAATTACAGAGTCTACTGATCCTCTTGTACCCTGTATTAACGACATTAAGCTTTAAATTTATTCAGTATTCTAAATATCCTTTTATCTTAGATGCTTTCTTTTTCTACCTTTTTGGGCATAAAAGGAGTGAAAATTTGACTTTAGAACATATTTCAGTATTTTGGGCATTACTTTGTCATCGAAGTCCAAATGAGGTGATCTTTGTGGCGTTGGAAAGATAAGAGATAGAGCCACAACCTTCATGAAGACCACAAACGCTAATTCGGCTATATAGAAGGTGAAAATCCTCCTCAAAGTCAGAAACTAGCTGCAGCCGGGAAAACACCTGCTGTAGCAGGTTTGCTTGCACCACTAGGGTTTTTTTAGAAATCCTAACGGCGCTACAGCGGGAAATTGATCCGCTGCAGCGCCAATACGCATAATGCTGTCATTTTAGGGTTGATTTGAGGAGGATATAAAAGGCAAATGTTCTGAGAATCAAATTAGAGGAGGAAGAGAGAAAAAAGATACATAAAATCCCTAAAGAATAAGGAACTTTAGAGGCTCAAATCCCATGATTTCATTGAAGATCCTTGAGGAATATGGTGGATTCAAGCTTAGAAGATCATTCTTCCAATGTAGTTCTTCCTTCTCCCTTTATTTCCTTTTTAGTTTTTTAGATTTTGTTTTGGGTTATGGATTCTTCTATGTTGAGCTAGAATATTATTTTAGGATTTGATGTAACCTTATTTGAACTATGTTTTGAATATTTTGTCAATTGTTAGTTTGATTTCCACTTAATTCATTTGTGTTTCTCTATGTTTATTGCTCTAATTTCTATTTTCATGGATTAGAGATATATATATGTAGATTTAGGCTCGAGAGAGTTATTTTCACACGTTGGAATTGAGAAACACAACCTAGAGTTAGTTGAGTTCGGGAATTAATTCGGGTAATCAAAATTATGTTACTTAATGGATGCTTGATTCGGTTAGGCTAATAGGGATATTGTTTAACTAGGTCTTGCATACTATTTTGCTCGGCACTCGGGAGAGGGAGTGAAATTACCTTCAAAAATGTAAGACTAATGAATTGAGCGAAATTGGCTAGTATTGACTTGATAGGGTGAACATAGGAATAATAAGGTAAAGTTAAGTCCCTAGTACATTTGTCCGAAGTTTCCACATTTTATCTTGTTTTAGTATTTATATTTGTTCTAGTTCTACTTTTATTTCATTAAGATTCAGTTGCCTAGATAAAATTAAGTTACGATAATTACGGTACTTAGCGTCAATTTAACACTCAATCCCTGTGGAGACGATACTCACTCACCCTACACTATAAGAACTTGACACAAAGTCGCTTTTAAAGTTTTTAAATTCTAACAGAAAAGGGTTAAGTGAGACTAATTCTATGCTTTAAGTTGCATTGGTGATTCACATTTTATTCATTTGTACATACTGTTTTATTTTTATTTTTTATGGAGAAAATAATACTAAGTGGACGTTTGATTCATAGATTCAGAATCATGATTCAGAACCATTTTCGTTTTACTTGTATTTCTTGTGAGAGAAAAATACTCTATAGAACCATGAATCATGATTCAGAATCAGAGATGAATACAGGAAACAAACGTTGCTTAAGTGTTTCTATAATAATAGATTACAATTTAAGTGAGTACTTGACGCTAGAGAGAAAGTTAGTGAGAGAGAGTCTGAGAGTTTCAAGAGTTTGGATTCTGGGGTCGGTGGTCTGACTTTTTAACAGGTTGTCGGCCTCCAAATCTCAACGGGAAAATTGTAGTACTCACCGGAGATGGGTTTGTGCCAACAGAAGTATGTGGAGCCATCGAAATGGAGTTGTTTAAGAGGAAGAGGCCGCCGATCTTTGCCATAGATCTAAGACGCGTTCGCCGCAGGATCCTGTTGAAACTCTCTGAGTTAGATCACGGGAGGGAGGTGAAGAAGGTGCTCTAATTGTGTGTTAATTGCTACCAGTCGGCAGAGTTGCGTGTGCCCCACGCATCGCCGAGTTTCAAGTACTTTCGGTGCCGTTTTGGGAGGCTTTTTTCAGCGTTGTTTCAACTGTTCTTCTCATATTTGCTACGTTGATGGACTTGTTCTAGTTGGTTTGATCTCTTCGGTTTTCTCTAATTTTTGTGTCAAAGTTTCTGTGTTTGTAATGAGGGTGTTGGTTTTTGTTGGTTTCCAAAATGATTTTTGATGCAAAAGCGAATAAGTGCGGATCGTGTATTAATCCATATAGGGCCCGTTCAGTTTGCTGATTCGAGTTTTTAATTTAAGTTGATATGTGATTTTATGTGAGAGTTTTTTACTGTAGCAAAAAAGTTAGATGTGATTGTTTATGAGAGTTTTTTACTATAGCAAAAACTCGAATCGGTGAAATGAACGGAGCCATAATCTTTGAAACACATAGGCCTCGTTCATTTCACCGATTCGAGTTTTCAGTTTTAGGTTTCTACAGTAAAAAGCTCTCAGAAAATGTCACATCAAAATTTTCTTCTACAGTGAAAAGCTCTCAGAAAATGTCACATCTCAGCTCGAATTAAAAACTCGAATCCGCGAAGTGAACGAGGCCTAGATTATATTAATTTATTCATAAATAAATTAATCAAGTTAATTTATTTACGTAATGATTCTATGATAATAGTTAAGGTTAATTTTGAAATAATAGGGTGTATAGAAAGAAAATTAATTCAATTAAAAATTATATTGAATGTGTAGTTAGAATGTGAATGAATTATAAATAATAAAAAAGAATATAATCACTTTTTAACT